GGGGGGTCTGGAGGTATTCTTCCCCAGAAAATTTTTAATTGTATGTTCCTACCCCTACCTCCTCTACCTCTTTTGTTAGGCCCTTTCATTAATTCGTTCATTATGATTTGTGAGTCTATGCTATCCGCGAGTGAGGATGGATTCTTACGAGAAATGTTGTTATCAAAATATCGATTACAGATATTTGATTATATATATATATATTTGATTATATATATATATTTGATTATATATATATATATATATATATATATATATATATATATATATATATATATATATATATATATATATATATATATATATATATATATATATATATATATATATATATATATATATATATATATATATATATATATATATATATATTTTTCAGTAAGTTAGTTATATTATTACTATATATATAGAATATATTGCAGCACAAAGCAATTCCAAACAACTGAATTAGTTAGCGGGTAATATACAACTTTAAACTTACTGTGCCTACAGAAACACATGCAGACTGTAATAAAAAGTACAACTTGATATCTTACACTGTAAATTTAAAACTTCGAGCCGTTTTAACTTTTTTAGTACCTGTATGCCCCAGTGGCCATCTGTATATACGAAACTAACGAAAGAATATAAACGGTTTATGTTTACAATATTGAAGTGTATTTTCCGGTCTGCGCTGATTGGTTATTATTAATTGACCTGCGACATCCTAATTGAAGGGTGGAATAGACAATGTTTTATCGGTGACTGTTCATCCTTAGTTGCAAGCGACGGTTACAGTATTAACACAAACGTCATCAGTATATACGTCTCATGCACATATGACCCTTCATGTATAAGCAGGGATGGAATGATGGATTTACCGGGGGGGGAAGTGCTATTTTTCATGCTAAAGCAAAACAATCTTAGAGACAAAATGAGATACAGTAATTTGAGCAATAAGCGAATGGTGATAAGCGAGCTGTGAACAACAATTATATAATTCAAATACAGCAGTTGATGGGCGGGTGGTACACATGACCAACACAACTCGGCACCAGAGCTGGCAGAGCACCCCTATCCTGTACACCTATGTCCCACTTCTAACACTGCAGCCATTGTAGAATGGATAAACTTTGCTTAAAATCACATTTCCTGTCAGCATGTGATGCTCATACTGGACACATGCGATGCTCATTTGAGAGGCAATTTCAAATATATGTAAACAACGTTACCCATTCATAAAAACAATAAACAATTGAACATTATTTAAAAATTTTGGAATATTTATATCTCATATTACTACACAGATTAAAATATGATTGTACATTATATATATTGAATTGTATTTTGGCCTACTTTCCGCCATATGTTCCCTTTTTAATAGCTTCAACCCCAACTTGTTTAGCCCGTTCAGAGGAAGCTTTGACTGCCTCCATGAGTGCTCCTCGAAACCCAGCTCTTTCTAATGCAAATATACCTGCAATTGTTGATCCACCGGCTGAACAGACATTGTCCTTTAGTTCACCGGGATGTTGTTTTGTTCCTAACACCATCTTAGCAGCCCCAGAGACAGCTCTAGCAGCAAGTTGGATAGCATCTTGTCTGTTTACTCCAGCCTCGACAGCACCATCAGCAAGTGCTTCGATAGCCACGTACATATATGCCGGACCACCACCAACCAACCCCGTCATAACATCCATCAGACCTTCTGGAGTTTCAAAACAATATCCCACTGATGAAAATAAATACATCATTGTTTCGTAATCTTCTTCTTCCATAAATCTTCCTTGACAAAATGCTGTAGCTCCTTCACGATATTCTACTGCAAGATTGGTCATCATTCTTGCGACACGAGATCGACCTGGTAGTTCATTTTGAATTGAACGTAACGTTATTCCTGCCGCTGGGGAAATTATCAAGTGATCTCGAGTCACCAATGGAGCTATTTCTCGTACAACTGAATGTAGAGTTTGTGGTTTAACAGCGAGAATAATGACAGGGTTCTCTTTAAGAACGGTTTTATTGTCTGTTGTCACAGGACAGCCAATGTCTCGAAATGCTTCAACATCACGCTCCGTTGGTGCACTAGCTATAATATCTTTGGCCGATAATATTCCTGCTCGGATAAATCCCACAGTCAATACACGAGCAAGCTTTCCAGCGCCGACAAAACCAATTTTATTTACACTCATGGTGACCTCTGTCGAAGTCATATAAATAGTGAATGATACACGTGTACTTATAGTAGAACTTCATATTATCATAACAAAACGTCTTTGTGTTCATTAGCCAATCACAATCGAGCTATAATTGCTACATAGACGAGCCAATTTATCGTTGCCAGGGGCATTCACCCACCAGGTCACGGACGATTTTGAATTCAAATAAAAGAGAGAATTTAAAATATGGATAATGTTCACGTTTTTTTTTTATTTTGACACGTCCCATTAAAGTGTACGCACGTGCAACAAAAACAACCTCGTTCCCAGGCTCTTTCTTCGGGGAAGGAAAGACCCATCCTCGTCCCCAGGCCCAAGCTCGGGCGGCCCTCACAGTGGGGGCCGCCCGAGCTTGGGCCTGGGGACGAGGATGGGAAAGACCCTGGTCGGAGCTGGTCACGTGGCTCCCAGATTTGCTAAATTGAAATTGTACTTAGGGAGGGGTGGTAGAGGAGTGAAGTAAATATTGTATATAATTTTATATTGATTTGCAATCAGGAATGACGATTTTTTTAAACTTTCGAAACAATTTCCTTCCCCGAAGAAAGAGCCTGGGAACGAGGTTGCAACAAAAAGTGCTGCAAGCTAGTGGAACAAGCTAGAAAAGCTATTTTTAAAGCGCAACCTGATACTCAGGGGAAGTGAAAACCCTAATGAGATGAGAGTTGGCAATAAGGGAAAATATTTCGAAAACATCAGCCGGGATTGCATAATCCCAAAAATCTTCGTACGCTTTTTCCAGAGTAATTTACCCCTCGGTCCCCTTCCAGAGTAAGTTACCCCTCTTCCAGAGTAATTTACCCCTCGGTTTCCTTCCAGAGTAAGTTACCCCTCTTCCAGAGTAATTTACCCCTTCCAGAGTAAGTTACCCCTCTTCCAGAGTAATTTACCCCTTCCAGAGTAAGTTACCCCTCTTCCAGAGTAATTTACCCCTTCCAGAGTAAGTTACCCCTCTTCCAGAGTAATTTACCCCTCGGTCCCCTTCCAGAGTAAGTTACCCCTCTTCCAGAGTAATTTACCCCTTCCAGAGTAAGTTACCCCTCTTGGTATACGCACGTAAAACTTTAAATCGTTTAAAATTTAAATGTTCAGTTATAAAATAACCAAATAAATAAAGCAACAGAATTTAGTGTTCCGCAAGTTTTAGTATGCATTTGTTAACTTATTTGTAAAATATTTAAAAAAATAGAAGGATTCAAAGTTTTACGTGCGTGTACGTGCGTACGAAAAACGCAACAGTGCCGGACCAAATCAGCCTTTACGATCGAAATTGAATCGCATAGGAAGAAATAGAAAAGACGTCAAACCGATACTTAGAATTGTGCAAGACTCCATTGTAGATAAAAACGATATATACGACAAATGGCTCTAGATTCACATTTGTTGGCTCTGTTTTTACACTTGAATCTAGAGCGATTAATTCATTTTTATGGAGCCTGGAATATTTTGTGTGAATGTCTATGTGTTCTTTGTAGAAGTTAATTATTCTTAAACATTTGTGATTTGTAAACGTGATTAGGGTCGTATAAGATTTGCCTTGTAATGGAACACCTAATCTCACATATCGACGTTACATGACGAGACGGTGTGGTGAGATACTGATAATTATAATATTTTAAAATAGCATTTATTTAAACATGATGATAATATCATGATATTACAACATAGCTACTATAGCTTATGTGGTCGTGTGACTGACACTATAGTAAAACTATTGATTATGACTAATAAGACTATAACTTATATACTGATCAATATTTAGTCACGGCAAATCCATAAATATACATCACATTATTTGGCAGTAGTGACTGAGTTTAATAAACGTGTTCCATTTACACAAGTAAAATTGGTGGGAGTAAAATTGGTTAATAATTTGAATTTCAACATTGAGCTCATAGGTGTACAAGACAGGGGGCAACTGCCGCTTCCCCTACCGCCCCCTCCCCCCGCAAAAAGAAAAACTCCAGAAAGCTATATATATGCCTATGGAAATTCGGGAAAATGCTAGGAAAACTGATCAAGAAAAAATTGGGGCAGATTTATCAGAAAATATGTTAAATTTCAGTATGTAGGTATCTATATATGAGCAACCGAAATACGCATATCCACTACCTTAGCGTACTTTAGGTGACCTTAGCCTACCTTAGGGTACCTTACCATACATTAACCCATCCACCTTTGACTACCGTTTGAGACACAGCAAGCTACCTTTCCTGAACTTGACTCATTTACCTCCAGACGCGTAGCCAAGGGGGGGGGGCAGACCCCCACACTTGTAAAGATCAATATTGTAATTCTTCCAAAAGTGAAAAGAAACAAGGGGGGGTGGGTGCAAGTTGCGAATATTTTTAAAGAAATCAACTGTCGTCATTAAATTGAAATAATTGCGTATTGGCGTTCGCAGGCTATCCAGTATGTTATGTACAGTTTAGTTTGATGCAACGCTTCAGAATATCTTCAAAGAGAAGGAATGGACTTAGTGACCGCTGTGGATGCGGTAACTGCACTAATCGCCAGATTTTCTTCTTCCGGAATGAGGAATAATTTGCCGAGTTTGTGCATACTTCTGAATCCAAGGCAGTCGAATTTCACGTTGAATATTCGTACAGAGATCCCAGCAACAAATTAAACGCCGTAGAACGCTTCCAAATTGTCTAGTTGATGGACAAACATTGCTTGATATATCATTCAGTCACCAAGTTGCCTCCTCAACTCAACTCAAAACGCACTGATTTTTACTATTGTCTGCTTGGTTTGCTGCTGCATGGGGGAGCTGAGGAGGCGATTTTCAGTATTGGTATACGGTACAAATTATTGAAACGAATTGAGTAATTACAATATATGAATAATTTAGTCATTGTCCTCGCTCTGTTTACAACGCCAAATCACAGACTTTCACGTCTCGATACAACGGCTGCATTTCAAACCGCAACAAGTGCAACTTCAAACTGGGTTCAGCAGAATTCTTCCCAACCATAAAACCCATGTCTTCAACTACTAAGATTGTATTAAATTCATACGATTGGTAGCCTAATATACGACGAATTATCTTTACTACCATTTATTTGAAAGAGTTTGTTTAAATGTTTTGGCCGTCGTCGTCGCGTTGCCGTCCTAAAATTGTAAGGTCTCTAATATAGAAAAGGTGTGGAATTTGGCAAGAAGATACAAAATTCCAGAGGAAGGAACCTGTCGGGAATATTCTTTGTTCCGAGAGTCTGGATGCTTTCGCAGTTTGATGCAGAAAGAGGGGTAAAAGATCCCTTACCTTCCATTAATATTAAAGACGTTTGGTGAAAGTGATCACGCTGGTCTTTACCTAAACCTTCACAGAATCATTTGTATTGCGGCCACAATTCCAGTTACAATAGCTTCATGAGAAAGATGCCACAGCAAAGTTAAAATTATCAACAATTACATGAGAGCAACCATGGGTGAAGATCGACTTGAGAGCTTGGTTCTTGCTAGTAGCGAAAGAGATGTAGCCGAAGATATTAAGTTGCATTCTCTTGTCGATACATTTGCTTTGAAGCCTAGAAAACTTCCACTATAATATATTAATTCGTGTAATCTAAAAGTTAGATGCAAAGTTATATTCCTGAAAACGGAACACAAATTAGATTCCCGTTCGTGTACGTAAATGTTGTATAATATGTGTATCGTTTC